CCCCAAGTCAGCCGTTGCTGAAACTGACCAGCGCTGACTACAGGAAGCCCGAGGCACAGTTGCTCTGCCCCGGGCTTCCTGGAATCACCGGCTGATCAGTTTCAGCAGCAGCTGACTTGGGGACACCTGGGATAGAGCAGCTGGGGTGCTGCAGGGTTGGTCCCCGCAGTGCCAAGGTGCGGCGCTGCGGGGACCTACCCGGTAGCGCCCCAGCTGCTCTGTCCCAGGCGTCCAGATTCAGCTGCTGTTGAAACTGATCCAGCGGCTGATTCCAGGAAGCCCGGGGCACAGAAACTCTGCCTGTAGTGAGTTCTAAAATGTCTAACTAGAGTAATTTTCCCTGTGGCCAACTGCTGCTCCTGGAAGTGGCTGGCATGTCCCTGCAGCCCCTGAGAAAGGCAAAGCAGGGGGAACTGTGGCCAGAAGAAGCTGAGGGCTCAGTACCTGTAGTTGAGGGGCAGCACATGGTGCCATGGAGCCATTGCTGTACATGCCAGCTGCATCCAGGAGTGGTGCAAGGCCAGGGCAGGTGTAAGCCTGCCTTAACCCCACTGCTCCACCACTCGGAAGCCATCTCAGTTAAATGGTGCCCAGCCAGAGCTTGCATCCTGAACCCCTGACCCAGCCCTGAACCTCCTCCTATACCCAAGCGCCTGCCCCAGACATGAGCCCCCCTGCATCCAAACTCCTTCCCAGACCTTGCACCCTGAAACCCCTTCTGGAACTCAATCCCCCACTTTGGGCTAAGCCCGGAGCCCCTCCCACACTCCAAACTACTTGGCCTAAGACCAGAGCCTGCACCCCAACTCCCTACCCCAGCCTGGTGAAAGTGAGTGAGGATGAGGAAGGAAGGGGGAATGGAGTGAGCAGGGTGAGGCCTTGGAGAAGGGGTGGAGCAAGGGCACGGCTTCAAAGAAGGGGTGGGAAAGAACAAGGGTATTTGGGTTTGAGGTAGATCTTACATTGCACTTAAATTGAAAAAGTGATCTTGTGGTTTAAAAGTTTTGAGACCACTTACTTAAGATTTTGTAGTAAGTTATTGGAAATCTACAGGATATGCAAAGCACAGACATAATAAACTATCATTGGCCCATTTTGATCAGAATATGAGAAGCAGTTATCCAGCTAGAATTATTAGAAAGCCTTTGCAATTACTGCCGTGGAGGATGCATTGCAAAATCTGTCCTAAATGGAGAAAAGATGGCAATGGCAAAGTCTCTATCAAACAGATAATGGAACTCTTGCCAAGCCAAAGATAGAAAAGACCTTTTTGGCCATGGTTGCTATCAGAGATCCCAGAAAACTGTCTAGAAAGACAACTATACTGAGTAAAACAGTTTGGTTTTTATTGTGGCAATGCATGCTCAGAGTCAATAGTATTCTAAGTGTCCATGTGACAACAAAAGTGGCAGTTCTTTATTTTTTTTAAATTACTAGATACAACCATCGATCAACTACTAAGTACATTAAAACAGAATCAATAAAAACACCACCATTAAATGTGTGTTAAGCTGTCATTAAGGCATGCAAAGAAAATAACCCACCCTAACCTTATTTAACAGTTCATCAGAAAAAACATAGATAAAAGAATGAATCCTGTAACATGTTTTGAAAATGAAGGAAGATAAAACACTACACTGTTATCTCAAGCAGGGATCAAATTCCAGACTGAAGGACCCTTCACCAAGAACAGCTCGTCTCCAGTCCCCAAACACACAAATATAGTTCCCAATCCTTCAATGTATATGTGGGTGAAGTAGTGTGCTCACACGGAGCCTCAATGACCTCACCTTGGGTGTCCAAATTCATGTTAGCTGCTGAGCTAAAACACAAGGGCTGCGTCTAGACTGGCAAGATTTTGTGCAAAAGCAGTTGCTTTTGCGCAAAAACTTGCTGGCTTTCTACATTGGCCGCTTTAATTTGTGCAAGAACACTGACAATCTAAGGTATGATTGTCAGTGTTCTTGCGCAAATACACTGATGCTCCCACTTGGGAAAACGTCCTCTTGCGCAAATGCTTTTGCGCAAGAGGGCCAGTATAGACAGGTAAAAACTGTTTTGCGCAAAAAAGCCCCGATGGCGAAAATGGCCACCGGTGCTTTCTTGCGCAAAACCGTGTCTAGATTGGCACGGATGCTTTTGCACAAAAGCACTTTTTGCACAAAAGCATCCATGCCAATCTAGACGCTCTTTTCTGCAAATGCTTTTAACGGAAAAACTTTTCCATTAAAAGTATTTGCAGAAAATCATGCCAGTCTAGACGCAGCCAAGGAGAAAAGCAATCTTACAAATTATGAACAGCATTACAATTCCAAACAAAAATCTTAAATTGCTTCACAAAACTAATTGGAAGCTACTGCAATCTCTGGAGCAAAGATGTAATAGGGCTTAGGGGCAAAACACCACTGGAAAAAAACCCAGGATGCTGCATTCTGCACTAACTGGCATGTTCCACTAGTCTTCCAGCACAGCATGAGGTAAACTACTCAGCAGTAATCCAATCCTCAAATAACAGGCATTAATAACTATGATAAGTCCATATTAAAAAAAAGGCAAGCAACATAAAGTAAATACATTTTATATTTTTTAGAGAGTCTCTTGGTCACTATAGTTATCTAAATATCCAAAAGCAATGGTCCAAAATAAATCCAAGATCCTTATTTATCCTACTTGCATCCCACTTCAATTTTCTCATCAATATTTTAAAAATCACAGGTCACAGAATAAACTACATTTTAAAAAATTAGAACATATAGTTTTCAATGAAAAAGCAGAGGGTACTGAAATTAGGTTAAAGATTTTTCTGCCCTGTGTTTGATGTGTGTGTTGATAATCAATAAAAACAAGTACAGGATTCTTGTTACAGAAGTCAAAAGACTTTTGACGGGTGTAATACTGCTAGCATTGTGTTTTTAGAACTCAGATAGTCAGCATCTTCAGGATAAGTAGTGGCTATATCAAAGGTGGGCAAATACCAGGCCGCAGGCTGGATCTGGTTCGCGAGGTTTAACTCCTGACGGGCCCCCCACTGCTATATTTACTTGCATCTCTGTACATACAGCTGATCGCAGCTCATGTTTGCTGCAAATTGCTGTTCCCAGCCAACGGGAGCTGTGGGAAGTGTATCCCGGTGTGCACCACTTCCCAACACTCTCATTGGCCGGGAACAGTGATCTGCAGCCCACAGGTGCTGTGATCACTAGTACCTGTGGAGGCTAACCCTGGTGAACCACTGCCATTTTACTGCCCACCCTGGGCTACATGGAGGGGAGAAATGTGTGTTGTGCTGCAAACCCATAATTTCCCCCTACTCTGGGAAAGTAGATTATGTTCCATCAACCTTCACCTACTTCCACACACAAAGTCCATTTAATCAGGTTTCCACCATGAAAAAGCATGGGAGGAGAAGGGGTTACATTTCATTCTTAACTCTTGATTCAGCAATGGGACTTACTGGCAGAGATACTTCTGACAATATTAACGATGTAAATATCCATTAAAAATGTTAACCGCTAAACAATATGTTTAAGCAGGTAACCGCGGAGGGCGGGGGTCCCATGGTGGCGGGGGGGAGCCTGCTCCAGCCAGACAGCCCTTCTGCGCTGCAGGCAGGGGGCTTTCTCCAGTTGAGCCCAGCCTTCTGGTTACCACTTACCACTCCCGCCTGTTCCCCCAACCTTCCATCCTGCTCTGCTGCCTCTGATACAGTACCACAGCCAGTGGGGAGGTGCTTTTGTGTAACCATAAAGGTTAACTGGCTCATAGTATATACTTTTAAACGGTTAACCAAACACATCCCTAGTAGGTAAGCATCTTCTGTCCCTCCCACGTCACGTCACGTCACGTCACGTCACGTCACGTCACGTGCCTTGGTCAACTGTTGAAATTCCTCTACCCTATCCAATTTTATTTTTATAAACTAAGGCCCCCAATCCTTCAAAGACTTACACCGGGTTTAAATGTATCTCAGAATCTAGAACTGGAAGGAACCTCAAGAGGTCATCAAGTCCAGTCCTCAACCACCATCTAGACCAGTGTTTCTGAAAGTGTACTGAAGAAACACTTTCAGAAACACTTGAACTGTCTGCCCTGATTTGTTTATGTACCGGCGCCACGGCCACAGAGTCTCGTGGCTCCCATTGGCCCCATTTCATCCTTTGCAACCAAGGGGAACTGCGGGAAGCAGCATGGGGTGGGCCACTGCTTCCCACAGCTCCCCTTGGTTGCAAAGGACAAAACAGAGCCAATGGGAGCCATGAGGCTACGTGGCTACGGCGCCAGTAAATAAACATATCATGGCAGCTAGTTAAAGTGTTTCTGAAAGTGTTTGAGGTACACTTTCAGAAACAGTGATCTAGACCATCCCTGACAGATGTTTGTCTAACCAGTAGTCCCACTGAAGACAAAGTCTCATTGAATGCACAAAGCTAAGCATGAGCATAAGTCTTTGAAGGTGCAGAGGCCATATCCTTGGCCAAAATCGAATGCACTGGCTGCATTTTCAGTTTATTAGCTTGTCAATTTTTGACTTAGCACTATCAATCAAACTGTACCTATGTTGCAGGATGATAAAAATAAAAAATTCACTAATTTTGCAAGCCTGATGAGCTAATTTTAGTTTTGAAAATAACCCTTTTTGCTATGTGCTTGTAAACAAATAAAATGCTATGTTCTAGTTGAATTAACAAATTGTTAATAATATAATACAATATGCAATTGCAAGCCATTTGAAACATTTAATTTTCATGAGTTAGAAATTAAACTATAGAAATCATAAGAACAAATCAGAGCCACAACTGCTTTGCACATGCTCAATCTATCTGAGTAAAGTTAAAAGCATATTCAGGGATTTCACTTTTTTAAGGAATATAACATGGGTGCATCACATAATTTAAAAGTTCTATTTATCTGATTCTACATATCCACTCTGAGCTCATGTATAATCCTTGTAAGTACTGTAATTTCTCTTTGTGTGAATTAACTTTAAGAGGAAACATCTAAAACACACTTGCTAAACTTCCTTAGGCAAGATGAAAAACTGAGAAGCAGCTCTGAAGTAGTTGGGCTATGTCTGACCCCTACAATTCACACAACTAAGTAAGGAAATTCAAAGAGGAAGATACAGACTAAACTACGAAAGCAGGTGAAAAACTAAAAATGGAGTATTTTCCACAATTATTTACTGCTGAAAGATAACAAAATCATCAATTTAAAAGCACTCTGTCAATTTAGTCAGACTTTTACCTAATGTTGATAAAAAAAAAATCAACGATTAATTTCACTATATTTGATTTTCCTTATTTATTGTGAGGTCTTTTCCACAGCAACACTGTATAAGATTTTAAACTACAGTAGACTTCCGACAATCCAGAACCTAAGGGATCTACATGGTGCGGGATTATCAGATATGCCGGACTATCAGGAGGTACTATAAACTGGTTATATATATACTGTATACATTATATACTGTATATAAAGTGTTCTTAACCCTTTTTATTGTACATACTGTATACAGTATACTGTAATGTTTTAGTTTTTTTAAGACTTTTTTACCTTTTTGCTCAGTTCACCTGCTGCCGCTGTTACCTTATGACTCATTTTTGGCTGAAGGTCACTCACTAGGTTCTTGCCATTTTGATGCCGGACTATCAGGAGTGCCGGACTATTGGAGTTTTACTGTAATTTGAACACGCCATTATTCTATTTAATTGAATCATTGTGTTAACTGTACATGCAAATGATAAGTTAAAACATGCAATTAGACATTTTTTTTCATACAGCCACCACACAGTGTACATAAATCCATAAACATTTTTCTGAAAATTTACACCTTACAGCTTTATGCAACGTGTTTCACAGGAGTTTATTTTAGGACATCACAATTTGTTTCTTCCATACACATTTTTGTTGTGCTATTGTGGGACTTATTTTTCATTATGAAATATTGAAATGGAGCAGTCAAAGTAATTGTGATGCATGCTTACATTTGTTATTCATGAAGTTATAGAAATATTTCCTGCTATGAGGATATAAATGTTCATATATATGACAATTTGCTTTTAAAATGAATGTGATTAATTCAGGTTCGGGACATTGTTTTATTGGCCTATGATTATAAAACACATAGAATCTGTAGCATCTAATATTGTGGGTTATTATTTCAGCTCTATTGCCAGCTAGAACAGAATGCTGAAATTAAAAGCTTGTGATATAATTTAAGAAGACCTACTCAAAAACAGACTATTAAAAGTTTCAACTTTAAACACAAGTTTCCTCTTTGAAAATTGCATTATTTTAAAATCAGTAATGAGCTGTCCATTACTTTTTCAGTCAAACTACAGGTATTTTCATTTTTTCCTCTAACTTATTCCCTAAGAACACTTGCCTGTTTGACTTTTATATTCAAATTAAGTAACTTTAATTCACTAGAAAGCAGTTTTATAGAGCAAAAACAAACCTTTATAAGTTTGCACACTACTAACTTTTCAACATTATATTCTGAAATCTAAAATATGTTTGTTTTCAAGAGTATCATTTTCCTCTTCTAGCAACCAAACAATAGACCAAAGCAATGACACCGTCAATTTCAGAAGCCGATTATGACACACACACCTAAGTATAGGAAACAATAGCTAAGTGTGCTAATGTACCATCTAATATATTACTTTTACTTTCTAAAATCAACTTGATATCTGTTCCAAGTAAAATGAGATCATAAAGTCATATGAATTTGCCTGATCTATGCAGTAGCTTTCTACCAAAAAAAAAAGGCAAGGGTTTCATAAACTGTGATCAACTTCACAACTACTTAAAACACTGCACTAAAAACAGATTTTTATGTACACAGCAAGCATACCAGTCAATAAGCATCATTTGCTTCACTGATGTCAAACACTTTAAGGAATTCTGAGGCAAGAAAAACAATTTAAGAGCACAACAAGCATTAAGGGATGGAGATTTTTTATTTGCATAAGAAAAACAATTAAACATCATCTGAATAAATCATCTAATTTCACAGGAAAGAACTTATATGTGATTTGCACTCTAGCACTACGGCATGGCAAGATAATATCAGATACCCTTCAAAATTTTAGACTGAAAGTAAAATAGTCATTTAAACCAAGAATTGTTGGCATGGAGATATGTGATTAATGTTTTGGTTGTGGTTAGCCTTTCTGAATAAGCATTTTTAGAAAACAAAACCAGATAATATTACCCCCTGATCTCTGAGTAATTAAGACTGAATAATTAAGAAACAGTCATTATGAGGGAATGGTGTGAAATTTGTTATTTTAGAATCAGAGGTGAATCTGATTGGTGTGGGGAGACACTCAGATACTATGGTGAACATCACAATATATGTACTGATGTTGAAAGATTAGATTAATCTAGTTAAATATTAGATCAATTCAATTAGCCAATCAGGACAGACACTGCTTGAATAAGGAGAACACTACCTAGTGTCAGCAGAAATAAAAAAAAATTAACAAAATTTAAAGCATTATGCCTATCTAAAAATCAGCAACTTCTAAAATAAAGTTTTAATTTTACTGCACAATTTTAAAATAACTTAGCATGATTAGTATTTTCCTTTAACAAAGCAAATAATTCTCCAATGATCACATTATTTTAATTAGCCACCACATATTTTTAAATTAAGTATTTTAATAATACCAATATATTTATTAGAACAGAACTAATTTTAAAAACATGAGATTACTGGTGTACCACACGTTTATTTGATAATTCTGTATTTGATTTGTAGCACAGCCACAACTTTGAAATATCAGTGAGGAAAATGACTTAGCAAAGATTAACAAGCCTGTAATTGTATTTCCACTTACCAGGTGGTATAGTAAAACCTGGAGGCAACTGGATTGTAGTCTGCTGAGGCGGTCTAACAATCAATTGTGGTGCAACTATTCTCTGAGCAATGCCCACTGCAGGCCTGGGTGACAGCGACTGGGGGACTGCAGAGACGACAGGTACACCGGTAGCAGATTTGGCTACACCAACAGCAGAGCCTGGTGGCCCTATAATATTTACTGTAGGTTTAGATACAGCATTGAGAGTGACTGTGCTGGACACTACAGGGGCACAGCTTGCTACTGGACTTTGGGCTGGATGGGTGACAACGTTCATTGTAGAAACAGAACTGCCAGAGTTACAGAGTGTATTTACTGCAGAACTGTGTGTGAGGAGTTTTGTCTGTGCTGTGGAGGAATCTGGTTTGCAGTGGCTGACAGCCGGGTTCTGATGGTTGACAACCTGTGTTACTGATGCTGGGGCACAACCAGCCTTTAGACTCTGAGTGACAAGCACAGCAGTGCTGGAGGCAGTGCCATTCCCACTGAGTGCCGCGGGAGGAACGGTATGCAGAGCAGGTCTCTGGAGAAGAGGGAGAGGAGCAAGAGGAGGAGCAGCAGCTGTACCACCCAGCACTACCGCCTTTGCAACCCCACTTGCTGCGGCCGCTAGAGTGACAGCATCGGCAACCCCAGGCGACCCCCCAGCAGTGGCGGCCTCGGAGTTAAGCAGCAACACGTTGTTCACACCAGCCGCTGCTGCAGAAGGACTATACCCCGGGCTGTGACTCTCCACTTCCCGGGCACCGCTGCCAGCAGCAGGAGCAGCACTGGCATCCACATGGTTGTTGACAGGCTGGGCTGGGGCGCCTGCAGGCGGAGGTGGGGCTGCGGCTTGCAGTGGGACAGGGGCAGCAGGTGCACTCGGGGGGCTGTTGCTGCTGCGAGGAGCTGCTCCTTGTGATTGCTGCATGCTACTACTGTTTACACTCGCTCCCCTCCCGGCCGCCACTCCGGGGGCGGACAGGGCAGGGGGCGCCCCCTGGACTGGACTGGGGCTGCCCACGGCACTTGGGCACCTGGCAGCCTCCCCTGCCCCGGGGAGAGGAGGAGGCGCAGGATGCCCTTGCTGCTGTTGCTGGACAGGGCTGCCGCCCCCCACCAGGCTCCCCGGGTGCTCTTGCTGCTGGTGGGATGCGGGGCTGCTGTTAGGACGAGCCTCCTCGGTGGAGGCCCGCCCGCAGGCCAGCTGCGATTCCAGGGAGCCCACCAGGTCGCTGACCGCCTTCTCGTCCACCTCTTCGGAGAAGAGCAGCATCTCTTCCAGAGGGTCCGAGGCGCCCGCCGCCATCTTGCGCCAAGCTGGGAGCCGGCCGCTCAGCGCACAGGCGCGCCCGGCTTCCGCCGCGCGCGAGGCATTCTGGGAGGCCGCCGCCTTCTCCAGTCTCACTGAGTGAGGCCAAGCGTGGCGGGGGTGGGGGCGCGAGGGCAGAGTGCCAGCGCTTTGTGCTGTAGCCTGGGGCTCGTCCCGCTCTCGCTGCGCTTACCCTCAGAATGCCCCATCTCCTCTGCTATCAAACGCTAAGCAGCGTGGGGCATGGTTAGTTCTTCAGTAGGGGACCAGTGCCTTGCTTGCATGGTGACAAGTCTCAGAGGGGTAGCCATGTCTGTATCTGCAAAACAGGAGCCCCCTGGCACTTTAAATACTAACAGATTTATTTGGGTTTGCTCACAAAAGCTAATGTCCTCATATCTCTGTTAGTCTTTAAGTTGCCACGGGATTTCTCTTTGCTCCTGAGAATAGTGGGTGCTACTCTTTTTGATGGGTCATAGGGGCTATGTCTACAATGCCAGGTTATTTTGAACTAACTCCCAAAATAACTGTTTTAAAATAAGCTTATTCTGCTTCACAAGCAGGAGTTATTATTTCGAAATAACAGGTAGTGTGGACTCCGCTTGTTATTTCGAAATAAGGGGAGTTATTTCAAAATAACTCCTTTGAGTGTAGACGTGCCCTGGGAGGTTTACCTGTAGGTTGGGCAGAATCTGATCATTAGGATTGTACTCTCCATCTGCAGATTACTGCATCACTCCATAGTGTCATCCCAACAGCTGGGGCTTGCTTCTGCTCCGAGCTGGGCTTGTAGTTCTAGAGTCACCACCTCATGGCCCTGAACAAAGTACCAGGTCTACATTATAGAGCCAGGCCCATGTAAACCAGTTATGTCAATCTCATGATGTAAGTGCCTTATTACACTGAGGTAATAATTCTACCTCCACAAGAGGCACAGAGCTTATGAGAGTGTAGTTAGGGCAACGTGGTGTCTGCTAGACCCTAGTCTCCTGATGTGCAAGGGGAAGATCCATCTGACAGTGGAAAGAACTCAGGGACAAGGGAACTCACTGCATCTTTTTCCAGAGAAGTGTGAGAACACAAAAGGGAGCATGCTAAGAGGATAATATGAAATCAATTCAAGGGGGTAATATTTGGGATAACTAAGAATGGTAATCTGTGGGTTAATACATTACTGTCTTTCTGTAATCCCACCCAGCAGGATTTGGGGCCAATTAATTGGAAAGCTGCTTCTTCCTCATAGCCAACTTCTGAGAGAGAAGTTTTAAATAAGAGAAAAAGAAACTTCATTATTGTTACCCCATCTCCCATGCCTCACCTTAATCCACTTGTTTTTCTCATCCATCCGTTACGTTGTGTCTTTTAGAATACAAGAATTTTGAGACAGGTACCCATTTTCTTTGTATGCATCCAAGGATAATGGGGCCTGGCTTGTTTGAGGCCCCTAGAGATTACTACAGTTGATTCTACATAATAATTAACTTCAATTGTCAATGTTAACAATTTAATTGTTTATGACTGTAGCAAATGAAATTGCAAACAGGGTGGGAATGGGGGGTGGGAATTAGAAGGTGCTTCAGGGGAAAAAAGGGATAAAGGAAGATAGCAAAGAAGATAGAAATAACAGTCATTTTAACTTTAACAAAATAAACAGTGAAAATTAAAAGTGCATTTATTACTTAAAGGCCAGTGTTCAACCCTTATATTTATTTAAACTTCCCCAATGTTAGAAGGAGTTCTGTTGTAGTTCAAGGATAGCATATCCTTGTCCACAAGCCTTTGTTAAAAATGTAATTCAGCCTTCTCAACCGAATAAATTTGACACACCTTTTTTAATTAGACTGATATATGTAGTGATCCCCAACTGACAAATTCAATGTCATTTTAATATGCACTCTACTACTGTTCGAAAAAAATTGTACCGAATGTTATTCTTGAATTAATGGAATGAAAATACCTTTAAAAAGCCATATTTTATTGTTTATGAACTGCTTCTCCACTGGTGTAAACGCCGACTTGATTTTAGGGATGTGAATGGGTAACCAGTTAACTGTAGGATAGCTATGATAGCTAAAAGGAGGCCTTTTTAGCTATCATAGAACTGGACAACTAATTCTACTTGAGCCCTTATGGATGGGCCAGGGGACATGTCAGGGGTACAAAAGGAGGATATGGCTAGAGCACACTCCAGTACAGCTATTTCAAAGAGGGACTTAAGAAGTGGAGCATGAAGGTTAAGATAGCTTTAATGCAGCCTCCCCCTTTGGGGTGGGAAAGGCTCAGAAAGTAGAGGAAGTGCAAATGTTCCTTAAAGACACCTTCTTCTCCCCTCCATTTCTGCTCCAAGTCAAGGAACAAAGTAAGTGTGATTAGGTCAAAAAGCTAGGCTATGTTTGCACTGCAGGCTTCTTGTGCAAGAAAGGCTATTCTTGCACAAAAGCTTGCAGAATGTCTACACTACATGCATGTTCTTGCGTAAGTAAATTTACAGTAAAGCGTTGGAACTCTTGCACAAGAGTTATTCCTCTCCCCATGAGCAATAAGCCCTCTTGTGCGAGAGCTCGTGCGGTTTCAGAGGTAACAGGGGTTTCTTGTGCAAGAAAACCCTACGGGTGCGTCTAGACTTGCCAGCTGTCTACACTGGCCGCTTGAATTTGCGCAAGAGCACTGACATTCTAATGTAAGAATTCAGTGCTTCTTGCACAAATACTTTGACGCTCCCGTTCAGGGATAAGCCCTCTTGCGCAAGAATACTTATGCAAGAGGGCCAGTGTAGACAGGCACCATAATCTTTTGCGCAAGAAGCCTGCAGTGTAGACATAGCCTTATTTTTCTCTTTGGAAGGGTATAAAAAAAACCCTTTTCTAAAGTTCAAGTAAGCATATCAATTTTCTCTTTAATGGGACACAAGACTTCACCTACCAGACTAACCATTCCTTTTGTGTTTTGTACGTTTTTTGGGGGGAGGGTTTTTTTTTTCAATTCATACCAAGTAGATATATAAGGTGAGCTCCACTCTGATAGATCTTGTGACGTCAACCAAAGTTCAATGCCAGTCTAACAGTCCCATTGACTTTATGCACATAGCTGTTTGCAGGGTCAGGAGGCCTTTATAAAAAATTAATGGGTGTGCATTCCCAAGGGAGGAGAGAGATTTTGAGATATTTTATATCAGAAGGGAGCAGACATGTTTATATCAGGATAGCTGCATCCAGACTAAGGAATTGTATCTCAAGAAGCGGAAGTGGGTCTGACCCATGAAAGCTCATCATCTAATAAACCATCTTGTTAGTCTTTAAAGTGCTGCATAGTCCTGTCTTTTGTTTCTGCATCTAAACTAATATTGTTAAGGCAGTACAGAAACAGTATGCAGACACCCCTTTAGAAATAGATTAAAACTAAAGTAAAACAAGACCTGGGCTAAAAGCCAATGCGTGACATGCCTCCACTGAGGCAGACAAACACACTCAGGAGTGATGCAAGTGAAATGAAAGTGCAAATGATGTCATTCAAGGCCCGACAAACAAAGTGCCATGCAGCATATGCAGAGGGGAGAGAAACGAGGACAGAAGCAATGGATACACAGAAAGATGTATGCATATTCTCATGCGCCGCAGACTGTAGGTTTATTAGCGCAGGACGTGCAAAAAAAAAAAAGCTCCCAATAAATCCCATCCTCTCTATCCCACTTCAGCCCTTCTCTCAGCTCCAGCTTCTCCCTCCTAATTGTCGCCCCCATCTGCGAATCCGCGGCTATCGCGAGATCGTCTCTGTTCCCGGCATCCATTTCGCGGCCTGGGAGAGGGGGCGGTACTAAGTCTGAGGGAAGATGAAGGCGGCGGCCATGTTGGCAGCTTCTGAGTGGCTTCGACGGTGTTTGTGTTGAGGGGCCTGCGTGGGGGGGAAGCGGTTGCTGAGGGGTCCACCCGCGGTTGCGTGTACGCCTAGGGGAGTGGCGTGCTCGCTCGGACTGCGAGAGGGTTCGCTTAGCCGTCCGAGGCCGGCCTCAGGAGCGTGCGGCAAGGGGGGGGGGGTCCCTGACCGGGGAGTTGGCGCCATGAGCGGGGGGACGCCCTACATCGGCAGCAAAATCAGCCTAATCTCTAAGGCCGAGATCCGCTATGAGGGGATCCTGTACACCATCGACACCGAGAACTCCACCGTGGCGCTGGCCAAAGGTAAGGGGCTGGGGGGAGCGGCCGCGGTCTCCGGCGTCTTGCTCCGTCACCGGTGGGGGAAACGAGGCACGCGCAGCCCCGGCCGGCGTTACGCTGTGGCAGGACCGAGACGCCAGTGGCACTGGCCCGAGGTGAGGGGCCACCGAGTGAAGTGGGGGTGGGGGTGGGGGGGTCGCTGCATCTCGTCACTTTTCGGTTCAGCGCCCCTGGTGGCGAAGGGACGCGAGCGGAGGTAAGAGCTTGGGGGAGAGAGGAGAGCGTAGTCGGGGAGCCGATCCTAAAGCTCCTGACCACTGCTGCCCGAGCTTACAGGTGGGGTTGGCCTCCACTGAAGCGTTGGAAGAAGCAGAGAAAGGGAGATGCGCTGTGTCGTGGTGTTTGCAATGGGTGGCAGTGGTGGAGGAGGGACGTCCACGTGTAGTCTGGTACGTGATAACCCCAGCCTAATTGGTTAATCCTATCGAATACACACATTCCCCCTTTGCTGCTTCTGGGAGAGAGGCAGCAAGGTGGGGAGCAGGAGTCATTGCTGTGGGGAGCCAGCTTTTTAAGGTGGCAATGCTGGGGGGGGGGGGGAGGACAGGGCAGGCTTCTCCTCGAATCTAGTGCTTGTAGGGAGCTTTTAAGCTGGCTCCCTACAGGCACCAGATTCGAGGAGCAGCCTGCCCTGTCTCCCCTCCTCCCCTCCCCAGTATCCCCTCCTTTCCCCTCCCCAGTATTGCTGCCTTTGATAGAGAGGCAGCAGCAGCAGGGTGAAGGGGGCAGGCAGGAGTTGGTACACATGGCAAGCTGGCTTGAAGTCTGCTTTCCTCACATGCCAGCTCACTCCTACACTGCTGCCTTTCTGTCAGAGGTAGCAGTGGATGGGAGGGCAGGGGAGGCTGCTCACTGCGGACAGAGGACACTGCGTGGAAAGCCAGCGCAGGTTCTGAGAGAGAAGTTGGGCCTCAAGACACATGCTGAGAGTTAACAAATATGTAGTTGTGAATTAAGGTAGGAACCAATTTCCAAAGGCTCTGATCTGTTAGCCTTTCCTCATTGGAAATTCCAGCTTGGGCATGTCCACTGACTCCAGCTGTAACAAAAAGAAAGCAGCCTCTTTGATGGTTTGGTCCCAGGTCAATTTAGGCTTTATACATCAAAATCTGAGAGAGCCCTT